ATATACTTTTTCCTTTAGCTATTTTAATTTTCTACTCGCAAAATCTAACAATATCTTCTGCGATTTTAGGAAGAGCCCTTCTCGTCCTTTCTTTTTGCATTATAAAATTTCATCAAATCTGAATATTGGTCCTGCACCCTTCATAGTGCTCCATTGTTGAATATATACATATATAAATATTATGTTTGTCGTACCAAAATTTGAAACGTCACTCGTGTAAATAATGTTTGGTCAATACTAATATCATGTGTCCATATCTCTCATTCAACCTACCTTATGTAACACCTGAAATTAACTAGAAAATGTTTTCATGGTTATAAAACTTGTGTTTTAACGCAATAAGTAGTGAGTGATCTCTATATATGTTATAATTGGAATGAATCAAAATGTCAGACAATATTCAATAAGGAATGTTTTATTCAATTGGGAGTTTTGGCTATAGAGATTTGCATATTTTAAAAACCCATGTCGTATAAAAATTATTTGAATCATTTTGAGAGGATTGTATTTCATTAGTTTCAAATTCTAAGTCTGAGATATAAAATATTAGAACTTATAACATAACACGTTATATTATCATTTTATTTGATAATATCTCCTTCAATGTAAAAAAGTGTAGAGGCAGACAAAAAGGGGTGCCCTTCCCACCACAGAAATGCACCGAAATTGTAGGGATTCTATTTCATTCTCCAAAGATTATATATATATATATATATCCTAGACAAGTTCAAGTGATTCCCCTTCTGTCGATAATTTGCATCTTCTTATTATTTATTTTGGTACAATATTTATAATATTGACAGGAGTGATTATCGAACGGTTAGTTATGATATTATATTATTAAAAAAATTATAAGATTCCGTATTGAATTTATATAACTAGCTAAAAGTGTTAAAAGATAAATTAGAGACTCCTGATGATTTTGACAAAAATATTCATTTGACTTTTATCTTTTTTAAATTCGGATGGGAATGTAAGCGTCTTTCCAGATTTGACTATATATAAGCATTTTTGAAATACATATTTATGTATACAAAGTTTTGACTACTTAAATATAAACAATGCATGCCACTGGCTCTTATATATATATATCAAAAGGATCTTCCACTAAAAAAAGACGGTTATCATTAAATGCTACGCTTGTACGAAAAGGTTTTGTGATGATTATACATTCTAAATTTCTAATAATTATTACATTTTTTTCCCTTTGAGCTTCTAGAATTGCTTATATTTTCATATCGATTTTAGGGTATTCCAATTCATGCTACATAAATGACTGTCCAATATTTATATCCAAATGTCATAGAAAAAACTCACTCTTTAAACAAAACAAATATTCATTTGTGATTTTTTTGTATCTCAAATAACATAACCCAACCAAAATTAGATGATTCAACTGGTAATAAAGAAAATAATTTTTTTCAATCCAAATTCGAGTTTATATTTGGGGAGAAATATTCACATAGACTCCTCTAAAAAATGTAATTGAACTAAAAAAATCTGATGAATTTCCAAATTAAAAGAAGAATAACATAACCCTATAATAATGGAAATGATCGGTATTTTTTATTTAGTAACTTTAATTTAGAATGAAGACTTGAAAAGCTAATGTGACCACCAATCTAATTTTATAAATAAAAAATCAGAATAACCATAAAATTTTGCTTACCAGATTTATCGAACAGAACTAATATTAGCTTATTTCACATTGCGGGGATCGATATGAAAACACATGGCAGTGTTCTTTTCCTTGTTATTTTTATGGAAGGCCCATGACAGCTTACGGAGTAGTTGCAGTTCTTAATTTGATTTATATTTGTATGTCTTTTTTAGGGTTGGAACCCGCCGTCACGCTTGTAAGAAGATTCCATTTGGAAAATGGAAAAGACAACAAAAGTAGAAAATAAAAACAAAAAATAATATAAGGGAAAAAGCTTAGGACGTCGAGGGATTCGCAAGAATCAAGTCAAATGCACCGTTGCCGTCAATCAAACCAAGCCACTACTAATGATCCCCACCACTATTTCTTTGTCGCCCCCTTTCATTATATAATAACACTCCACGACAATTATAATTATAACATTCATCCGTTCTCATGTTTGATATTATTGAGTATTTAAAAAAACAAAAGTATCTGTTTAATACATATATTTAGGTATACCATTATACCTATTAATAGTAAGTACGCATTTACAATTTATTTAATTTTTACACTTGTCACCAAAAATATTTTAAATGGATTTTATTGATAGAGATGAATACACGTAGTATTTATAGAAGATTAAAACCTTGATATTATGGTCATTCTAGTGTTTTTTTTTAACAAATATTTCAATACATCTAAGGAAATGTGTGTGTGTGTGTTATATATATATATATATATATATATATATATAACAGAGTTATTTTGAAACGAAGTGACTATTATTATATTGAAAAGGAAAGAAATGCTTTTAGATTTGGTTGGCTCCAATACGCAGGGAAGTCCATGGAAGGGCCCACCTCAGTCCCATTCTCCTTTTTTTTTTCCTCAAAAAATAAAACGTGCTCTGATTATATAATGACAACTAGATTTATTTTTTCGGTAAATGAAAATATGCGGACTGACCGAGAATATAAAGTTCCAGTTAAAATGTGAATTTTATAGTTCAGCTGTGTTATTTAAGGTACTTGTAATACGTGAGACTAAACCCCAAATTTGCGTGAGACATAATCAATCATGTGTTAATTTGTAATAATCTAATAACATGTTGTATATAAAGCCAATTAGCATTAATTAGTTAATTAATTTTTTTTAAGAGAGGGGGAGATCCCTTTTTTAGTAAATAAAATAAAAGTGAGAAGGCAAAGAGATTCATTGATCACCGTTCATTTTGAACAATCAATAATAAAAATGACCATTAATTACAATTAGGATCTAATTTTATATGAGTTACATGATCCGAGACCATCATTGCAGGTGAAAACATTTGACCATACGAACGTATGATTGCCTAGTAAACTCAGCGATAATCATATTAGGGATGAGTGTTTTTTCACTGGTCAACCCACCAAAAATGGTTAACAACAACAACAATGATGATGATGATGATGATGATGATAGTTCTTAGTATTTGTTTAGGGTTTCCCACCATATGCCATTCCAGGCTTCTCCTTAAATATATATTTGACGTTAACCCAAAAATATTTGAATTTCTGGCCCACAATAGTATGATGTGAACTTTAGAATTACCCATTGTCTTATGATAAAGCCTTCTCACCGCGCTAGTAATCGAAAAAAATGACATTTGATCATAACACACACATACACACGTGGAATGAATGCATGCAACTTAAAAAAAACTTAAATATTATAACAAAACACATTAATTTGATCATAACACACACATACACACGTATATATACATATATATATATACATGTGTATGTGTGTGTGTGTGTGTGTGTGTGGAAGGTGGGATGGCTAATTGTGGGAGGAATGGCCAATGCCAGGACTGTGGCCAGGAGCCGTGGGCCTGAAGTCTTCCTCCTTGTGGTCTTTTGGTGGCGGCGGCGGCGAGTCGGCTGCTGCTTTAGTTTCAGCCGTTGGATCGCTATGCATGACGTCATAGTGAATATCTTCCAAACCATTCACGTTATGAACTTTCTTATTCTTTAGGGTTCGTCCATTGATCGAACTTAACCCTAAAAACATAACCATCACGAACAAAAGAAGAGCATGCAGTGCTTTCTTTTGATCCATGTTTGTGCTGTGATAAAATTTAAAGAAAAAGAAAGAAAGAAAGAAAGAAAAGAGATTTGAAAATTGGTCTTATGATAAAAAAATAATTCAGGGAGGTTTAGCCTTTCTTGCGAATCAACTCTTGCTCCCATTGGTATTTATAGAGAGAAGTTTCTCACAAATTAATAAACTAATGTTATTGTTCTTATATTTTTCTCATTAGGCTGTTGAGTGACATATAAGAATATTTTAGAAATATATAGATTGGTGCGAAAAAAAAATGCGACGGCATTAACATATAATATAATTTATACAATAAATTCGAAAGATTAAATACAAATTCCATTAAGAATCCAGGAAATGAAGAAATAATATAAGGCTAATAAATACTCGAAATTCTAAATAATGTATAATACCATGATCAGAAAAATCTAAACCTGTTATATATATATATATACACACACACACATAATACTGAATTCTTTCTTTGGACCGAATATATTAATACAATACGAGATATTCTCATTGTTCATTACAAATCTACAAAGGAATTCTGAAATACACCATGAACCTTAATGAATCAAATCCAAATATAATTTCAGAAGAAGCATTTTATACAAACCTTTCATTTTTTTGAAGTGACAAATTGACAATAGATGTTCAAGGCAATGCTGCAACGCAAGAGTGAGGACAAAAGTCACGACGATCATGTCATGTCACGTGTAAGGAAATGTTAAAAGGATATTTTTATTCAAAGACAGATACAAAAGCTGAGCTTTCCAGTCATAAAGTTCACCGCAGACCCTAACCATTGGGATCCCATTCACTTTTTTTTTTAATTCCTTTTGTATTTTATCACTTTTTTTTTGCACCTTTGCATAATTTTTTTTTCAAGCCCGCCCCTTTGGTTTTTTCCAAAGATAATTAATATTTTTTATTTATATTCCAATTTTCCAAGTATTTTTTTTTTTAATAAACTACTGCTGAAAAATCCGAATTTAATTTTTTTTGGGTACAAATAAGATGATGATCTCTCACACGTGCTTGTAACTAACGGCACAAAATGTCCTTCAATGAGGAAGCCCAAAATACCGAACAAAACAAAGCCCATTTAGCTAGTAGCAACCAGAACCATGAAGCCCACAAAGCTCAACACATTTTCTAAAATCCAAAAGACTGGCCTCCCATAGATCTCTCTCTCTCTCTCTCTCTCTCTCTCTCTCTCGCGCGCGCGCGCGCGCACGACGCTAATGGTTCTTCTCCTTTCCCTTTCCATAAGTGTGTGTAATACACATTTAAACATATAGTACACCAATTACAGAATGAATTAACCAATATTTTAACCAAAGTAAATAAATAAAAAAACAAACATATATACTTGTGGATGAAAGCCTCAGCGTTTCAGTTGGGCTTTTACCAGGTTTTAAGATTTTTTCAGTGACCCTAACCAAAGAGTTGCTGAATGACAGCCTCTGCGTTTCCATTGTATTGGGACAGAAGCTGGATCGCATCAGCCCTCGGCAATGCCAGAAACTCCTGCACCCCACGTCAAACTCCTCAGAAACTCATTACACATTACAAGATAACACACACACACATATATATATATATATATATAGGTATAAAAGTGGTTGTGGGCATACCATTACTTTAAGGATGGCACTTTCTTCCCACAGAAAGTCTCTGGACGAAGCCGGAGTGGAGCTGCTACCGTCCTCGAAGGTCATGGTGCTGGAAGAAGTGGTGGTGACCTGGGATGACCCGTGAGTGCTGAAGCTGCTATCTAAGTTTGATTTCTTCGATTTCACAGCCCCTATCATGTTTGTGTTAACTTCCTTCAAAGAGTCTATCTTAACAAGGCTTTCAAACCGATCTTTGCACATCTGAAGTTTGAACCACTCGGTGTGTGTGTGAAGGGTTGCTCTTATTATTTTCATGAGCTGGGGTTCTTCCACTCCTATCCTCCTACCAAGCTCCACCTATTTACATAAAAAAAGTTGTGGGCTTTGTCAGAATACAACATCTATCTACCTAGGCAGATATATAATGACACTTGGTCAGTACCCCACCTGTAAGGAGTTGGCCAGAGCATTCAAAGGCAACTCCTTCTCCAGAGCATTTTCATCGGGTTGGAGTAAAGCTAGTAAAGTCTCCTTTAACACCTTCAGCAAAGACGGGTTGCTCGCTGCTATTGGTCCTAAATGAGAACCCGCAACCTTTAATGCCTCGTTGTGATTACCCGCACTCACCAGCTTCAGAAATTCGACCTATCAACAGAGAGAAAACATGTCAACTTGAGTAGGGTTTGGTGAGTGCAATCATTGCGGGAAGAAACTTGTCTTTCCCCTGACTGACCAAAGCTTTTGAGAACAGATGGACTTCTCAAGTATTCTTACACCTTACCTGCTTAAGATGGAAAAGAAAAACCGGATTTTGCGTGAAAAAATCTGGATCCATGGAGCTGATTTCGACAACTAATTCTGCTGCCATTCCTCTGCTCGCTAATTCTTTCAGTCCCAAAATTATCTCGTACTTGTCCTCCATATTACGAGTATCGGAAATTAACTTTCTTTTGGTGTCCTGCAAGGTTATTTTCAAGTCAATTAAAAATTGCAATCAAGAAACTGAAGAACTAGAAATCTGTTCAGTAAGTGTACCTCTTCTTGTGCCTTTAGAAAGTTGACGCTTGACTCTGAGTTAATACAATTCACATCAGTATGTCTTCTCCTCCATCTTTTGCGTTTAGTTCTTTCACCGGTCATATGGGTTCTATGTCTAAGGAAAGCTCTTGAATGTTCACATTGCAGTGACCAGCTGGTGCTGCAATCCTCATAATCACCGGTCACTTCACTGCTATAACGTGATTCAAGATCAGCCCCTTGTTTGCTAGATATGTCGGTATTATGTGTGGGCGAACCATCAAGCGTGCTGTTGAAGCTGGAGTTTTCGACATCTGAATGCTTACTCATGCTAATATCCACTTCGGAAGAAGACCAATCTCTTGATGAACTGTAGCCAATCTCTGATTGATTGCCTTTTACGGTACCAGCGATCATCTGCATCTCTGATTGATGAACTCAAGATCAGGATTACATTACTGTTAAACAAGAAAAATAGGGGAAAGCAATATCTCTTTTAAACATTAGATGATAAAGGATAACCTGACTCCACGATACCCCGGTAGATGCAGTACTCTTTAACAAGTTCGTCAAGCACCGAAACATCCAATTGCATCCTACACAATTCATTCTGCAATAAGTAAGAGCAAGATTAGAACACAATTTACCAATATAAATAAAATTAAACAACAAAATTAGCAAAAGGTAAGAGCAAGATAGCATGACAGCAGGGATACTACTAGGGAAACAGATAGTCAATTGTTAAAATGAGAGAGTTTATGGCAAATGGCTTCAAAATCAGTAATATTAGGAAACAATGTAACTGATATTGCCCAGACAACAAGGTAAGCGCAAAACTAAAGGATATATTCTATTAGAGGAATTTCTTCAACAACAGAGTAAAAAATGATAATAGAATAATTATGTACTGGAAGACAGACTAAAAAGAACATATCAAGAAACGTTAACCAAAGCTCATCACAAGAAAATTTGATACCTGAAATGCCAGGAAAAGGTCACCCTTGGCAAATCTCATGCTTTCGACAGCACCTTGTCTTGTGAGGTCTACAGCATGAGCAAGAGCTTGTATGTCTACCTGAAACCCGAGAACAAATACCAGACACATAACATGCTTGCAGATCAGAAAAACAGCTGTTATAATAACATATGGTTTACAAGATGTTAGAAAAAGATGGCCGCTCATATCTCAGAAACCTTACCTCATCAAATGGAGGAGCTTCATATAAACTCTCCAGAGGAGGGGCTGGAGCATCACGCTCCTCCAGGAGCAATCTCTGTGTAAGATCCGAAACTGGGGAAACAATTCCTTGGCGAAAGCAAAATCCTTTGTGTATGCTGGAATGTAGAACATAAACATGTTATTTACAATAAATGTAACAGAAATCGAAACATTCAGAACGAAAAAAGTCTTCATTTCAAGTTACCTTATCAAATATCTTAGTGTCATTGAAAAGACTGGATCATATGCTTGTAAGCAAGCTCTCAACACAGACGACATCAGTCCAGCCATTTCGTACCTCCTTTTTTCTGCCCACTGGACAACAAAAAAAAGCATAATTTAAAATCCAAAATAAAAATTTCGTATGATGCAACTTTAAAGGACATGCTAACAAGGGAAAAGTTAACTGTCTAAAACGATGACTGAAGAGCCGCAACATACCTCATTTGCCACAGGAGAGGTTTGATCGTCTTTATCATAAATGAGTGCAAGAAGGACATGCTTGAATTCCTCGTAAGCTTCCTTAAGATACATACACGGAGGTCATAACTCCATTGACTGAGGACCAGCTCAAAAATGCGTATTGATAACTTCTGATACAACAAAACCTCTCATAGAAGAACTTTCCCAAGGCAATTTCTTTTAACCCAAGAACAGGAAAACCATATGACTACGTCTATAATAGTTTCTAATCGTAAATATATGTGCAATATTCTACAAAACCAACTGCTATTTCTATAACCATAACCCCTTGCAGATTCCTATCTAAAACAAGCACCACAAATTGATACGGAATTTACCCCGAAATAGAAAAATATAGCAACTTAAGTAAGCTACAAACTTTTTTCAGAAAAGTAAAAAGAACCAGAAAAGAATGGAACATTCCACTACCGGATAGGCGTCAAGCGCGCACGGAGCAAGAGAAGTCCTCAAGCAACCAATTGCAGCCTCGAGATCTTCAGCAGTGCCTTTTCTCAACAGCTCAATGAATTTCTTCACAGGAACAAAAAAATGAGATTCAAACGGAGGTAACACTTGAATATACATCAGGAAATTCGATTAATTGAAAAAAGAAAGGAAACCGCTTGCTTGGAGTCAGGGGCTATAACCTAAAACGATCCCAAATTCAAATTTCCAGCAACCTAAAACCAAGATGTGTGAAATCTTAATGGAAATTTCCCTATTGCAGGCACTCAAACAGAAGATACCTGTTTCTGCAAGCGGAAAAGAAGTCGATGATCATCGAGGACGAAAGCGGCGTGAGAACGAATGAGATCAATTGCGGCCTCAATGTCACCGGATTCTATGGAACTTCTGATGCGCCGAATGATCAACCTAGCATGAAAAGACGAAGAGGAGATAGAAGGAGACGAAGAAGAGGAAGGCGACGATAATGGAGATGGAGACGAATTTGAGAAGGCGTCTTCGACCAGATTTTCTGATCTAATGAAATCGATGATCAGAGCATCAAGCGCCTCCCAGTTCACCGGCGTCGACTCCATGATTGTTTCTCCCTTTGAATTTTCTCTCGTGTCTTATCTTTTTCTCGGCGAAGAAAGTAGACGAGAAAATCGATCAGTTTATTTTCTCCACAGAATCTCAAAACGGAGGGTAAATGTTTTTCTCGAGAAGCATGAAGAAAGGAGGGCGGATCTGAGGTTAAGTTAGATGCTGCCACGTGGCGTATAAATGGTGACTTACGACTTATGAAAGGCTTGGATTATTGGATACGGTAACTGGGCGGTGGAAAATGCAGTTTGACTGACATCGACGTGGAACAGCGTCGATCGCCTTTTATTAAGAAACCCTCTGGAAGAGGTAGAAGTTTAGCGGTACACAACACAACGTCATGACATGGCTACATTACACTTGCGGTCCCACACAATTGGGCCATACCCATAGAGTGTTTAACTTGTTGTATTAATTGGACTTGAGCCCAATATGCCAATTTTGATTTCAATTCTTAAAAGCCTGACAATATACTATCTAGTATCTAGGAACGTTGCAAATACGGACTAGATGATGATGATGATGATGATGATGATGATGATGACGATGACGACCATCAAACTAATTAGTGCAAAAATACGAGAAAACTTGCGTTCTTCCGGATCAAAAGATCATTTTCTAGCCACCCATTTCTACTAATCTATCTTTGTGACCACAAATATTGTTAGTGACTTTAATTTCCCCCTTAATGATTGAATCTATCGCTTCAATGGTGATCAATAATCACTCCTCTTAAACAGCCGCTCGCGTCACATTAGTACCATGAATCTTTATCGTTATTTGCAGGAACGGATCTATGTTGTAGGGAGTGGGGTCCAACACCCCCACACTCAAAATTGAAAATACAATATTACTTTGTAAATTTTAAAAAAATTTAGTGAAATTTTAAGAGTGTCCCATTGTAATTTAGATATGGCCCCACCATTTTTACCCTATCAAAACAATTTCTTTTTCTCCTTAGTTTTCAATATCGTTTACGTTTTATAAATTTCTTTCCCCCCACATCTTCAACATCCTTTCCAAAAATAAAATTATTAACATATTACTATTGTCCCCGGCGAAAAATTTTTTTTGGGTCCGCTACTGGTTGTTTGATACAGATGATGTTAAAATATGTAAACCAACTCGTTGGCGACGTGATTAATTAATTATATTAATGCAATCTGTAATACCTTCTCTAAGCTAGTTATTTGTGTTACATCAATGCAACGGTCCACGGACGAGAAAACTGCATGGGAGTTAACTAATCCTTTACATTTACTTGTTTCCTTATATGCATATGATCGTATTTTCATAGACGTATCTGAATATATATATATACTTGTCGATTCAAAGCGGTAGTTTGTCATGTATCTAGGTATGAATGTGTACACATAATTGTATATCAATAATGTTATGATATGGAATCATGGGTAGAGAAAAGACCTCCCGAAATAAGATAATAAAAAGATAATCCGTCCAGCTAATATTTTACCCCACGTGGAAATTTCATCTTTTTCAGTAGACTTTATTTATTTATTTTTTAGCCTCTTAGGGGAAAAGCACATTCAATGATACTTGGTTTTAATATGGATCTAAACAAATCTGCACCGCAAACAATTATTATCTATACAATATATATATATATATATATATATATATATATATATGATTCTTATCTCTTTCCATCTCTTCGATATCTTTATATAAATTGAACCGGAAAGTTATGTCCATTTCAATTCAAAAAAGAACAGCGAAAGAAGAGAATATCACGTGGGAAAAATGCATCTTTCTCGTGAAAGCTGTACAATGGATTGGAAATTTTGAACTATTATTATTATTATTATTATTATTATTATTATTATTATTATTTAACAAAATGAGGAATAAATAGCTTTAAGAGTCTCCCTTCTAAAAAGTGGGTTTTACCGAAAATCGGAAACTGCGAATATTTGTGAATCGAAATCCGAATAACATAATTTTTAAATTAATTATCTCCAAATACCTGAATATTTTTACTAGAAACAATTATACATACGCATTTATAATATTTTAAAAAATATTATTGTTTCGGATGAAGTGTTTTTCATTTTTCAACATATATTCTCGAAAACACTAAAACCATTTATTTATATCTTTGCCCAATAATGTACCTCTCGTAGTTTTACCGCGATTCATCCCTTCTAAAATTTCACATTTTTTTTTTATTTTCTACATAAAAATAAACATAACTGTTTTTTATTTAAAAAACTCATATCCAATATTTGCGAGTACCAAATATTATTATAAACACTCATACTCGGGTATTCATAACTATCGAATTCAACTTTAATTTTTATTATAAAAATACCCGAATATTTCGAATAGAAATTTAAATACCCTAATATTTCTACATATTTGACCCGTGCTCACCCATAATTGCGAGCCTTGGGAAATCGAGAGGGAGAAAAAAAAACTATACGCTTTTTCGACCATAATTGAGTTTACATTACTTTTTCATAATAATAAAAAAAGCTGCCGTCAGCTTTTTCATATTTCATGAAAGAGAATAACTTTTTATCTTCGTTTTCTCCTTTTCCCTATTAACATTTTTTTTTTGTTTCACACCCTTCCTGTTTTATTCCCATCAATTCTCCTCTTCGTTCGATTATTAGGTTTATTTATTTTATTTTATTTTTGTTAACTGGTTTTTTTTATATCACAATGCCATTGGCAAAACCATTTATAAATTATAATATGGTTTCAAATATTTTTTCATAATGTAATTATAAAATACACATGATAGCTTAGCATAACTATCACCTATCCGGGACACATTGCGCTTAATGTTTAGCCACGATCGGTACGTAAGATAATTGATACATCACGCTTAATGTTTTATTGGGATATTTTTTTAATATATATTATAATATATCCCACTTTTAAATCAAGACACTAGACATATCATTACGGTGCATGGCATCAACGTGTTGAAACGTATAAAATTACCACAAGGACATGAATCGTGACCATACACTCCCTTCTTGATTTAATTTACTTAATTTTTTTTAGTATACATATGGTCATTTTCAAGTTTTAAATTTATTTTCACTTTTTGCGTTATGTGGTGCGACAAGGAGCATGCAGCTGAATCTCGTTTTGTCGAGGGACATGCTTTAAAAATTTAACATCCAGGTATCTTATAATAAATATTTCAAGACTTATTTATTATAATAGTACAAAATTGTAAAAACCATAAAAATTGTAAAAAACCATAAAAGATTTACAATATTATAATAGTACAAAATTGTAAAAACCATAAAAGTTGTCACATTATAGACAGTAGGCATTAGATATCCGTAACATTAATTGGATCAGTCACAAACAAAACTAGAGCATGTATTAGGTAGCCGATATTTTACATTTTGTAGCTGGCAAAACAAGAAAAAATTTAAATAATTTGGTTGTGTCATATTTGTATTTAAGATTTTTCTTGAAAAATATAAACTTCCTACTTTAACATTTTTTTTTAACAAATATATCAAAATACGGCGTAGAAGTTGATTCAATTACTTTATATATACATTATTGACGTGAGTATCGAATATATATATATAGATCCGTCGTTTCACTTCTAATTAATATTTGGGAATTGGCGTGTAATTGTTTTTGCGATGACCACGAGTTTTATGTGTTATGTTTTGCGTATATTATTATTTTTAAATGGTTAGAGAAAATTGTTACACCATGTCTATTAATATCATCTTGGGTCCACCATGATTCACACAAGAGAAATATGTAAACAATCGACATCATACAAAAAAACGTTTCATCCAAGACGGAACTATGTATAAATAATATAGAATAACGGAAATATGAATCATCCTAAAAGGATTAAAAGCGTATACCTACGCACACTAACAATCACATTACACTCTTATAAAGTCAACGGTCAGTAGAATTGTATTCAATTATAAACAAATGCTATATATATATATATATATTATTTTTTTTTTTATGAAATCTATATATATATATATATATATATATATATATAACATGATAATTAAACTTTAAAAATTATAATGTTCCATTAGAGGGGCGGTGAATCGCACAAAACCTCCCAAGTTGCAGAACGGCATAATTAATTAGGCTCGCTTAAACATATTATTTTATATAAAATTAAAAAGATATTCATAATTAGAAACATGTAATTAACGTATCAATTTAAATTTAAACGGGTTTAGATGGGAATATTCGTTCTCGTGGGGTCCGCCCTTCATCATCAGTGCGTCAATCAATGTTTTTTCTTCCTCTTTTTTAAGGACACTTATTTTAATTTTAATCTTTTATAAGGAAACAGTGGATGTGATAGCTTCCAACTTAATCCACACAATTAAAATTTTATATTTACACTAGATATGCAAGATATATTTTTCAGTAAACAATTAAAAATGTATAAAAAGATAACTTATTGACAGATTCTCCATTAAAAAAATAAATAAATTTATATATAACTTATCAAATAGGTTTGCCAATAACGGGTTAAAAAAGCTGATACCAAATTTTACTAAAAAATAAAAGTGTGTGGCCAATTTCTAAAGCAGAAAACTAGTGAATTTATGTTAATTAACACACTTACCCTTAAATACATAAAAATTATACGAAACTACAAGTTAGTTATCATGACCTTCATAACTGAACCCGAATAATATTTTGGAAGTGTTCCCCTAAATTAATCAGAAGAAAAAACCAACGAAGATATATTTAGGCATGATACTTAGAAAAATTATAAAAACATTATATAATACTAAAATTTATATAACATATTCACCCACAATTAAATTAAAAATTCAAACTGTATAAAAAGTATAATAACATACAAATTCTTCTCTAAATTTGTTATTTTTTCTAATCGTAATTACAACCTATTAATTTAGGTGTAGGCTCTCAATTCCTTACAATTTTCCGTGGCCACACGTCACCTAAGACCGCCATGTGCCTTTGTCTACACCTTCTCTCATTTTGATTTCCATCTGTTTTTTTCTTTTAAAGGAAACCCTTTGTTTTTCTTTTTCTTTTTTATTTATCATACTTCGAATTAATACGGAACCTTACCTTTTCCGGTCGGCAATGTGGAAATAATATTCACATTGAATCCGAAAAAAGACATAGGAGGGTATATATGTAACATTATATTCAGTCCAAAAAAAGTATTTGTCAATGATTTTGTTGTTACAATATTATGTTATTTAGGTGTGTGTGTGTATATATATATATATATATATATGCAACAGTAACTATAAATCAACAGATACAATTGCATAGACATGACTACCTTCTACGAGACAGTTTAATTGTTTGCATTTTCCAAATTGAATATTCGGGCTTCTTATGTACCAACTTAAGTGGCTATATCGAAAACTATATAATACATATATGGTGTGGGTTTACATATTCAATTGTATCCCATAGGCATATATATACACAGTACGTACAAGAACCCAAAAGGATATTGTTGCGTAAAAAAAAAAAACGAGAGAATAATGATTGGAAATACTCGTGGGGTATTATTGCATGGTAATATATCGAATTGCTAGCAGACAATGTACCAATATATTTTACGAATTCATTTGTATTTGTTTAAATAACATTCACATATAACTTTTTATTAAAAAAAACATTCACACATATATTCATATATATACAACGGTGGTCCGTTTATGTCCCCGACCTTCCGTTTAATTAAATACGTCCCACTTCTTAGCAAAACACACACACACGCACATATGCATGTGAAAATGTCTGATGTACGTACGTATAAATGGTCACAAAGCAGCATTTTACAGCGTTGATTTCGTTATCTCCTAACCGTTACCGTCATGGCCCTAAATTTTATGGATATGTGTGCCATTCCCCCTAAGAATTTTGCACTCATATACTAAAAAGTATACCAATAAAAACTCATCTTTTAATTGGGACGAGAGTATTATTAACCAAGTTTAAATAAATTAAATAATTAAACGCAGTAGCAAGTAAGCAAAAATACAATATAATAAGAGCGTAAATCAAATACAAAAGCAAAACCGCAACGCTACATTATATATATAGATTTTCATGTTTATTTACAAATTACGTACGTATGCAACTGAAACTTCGTACGGGCATTTTGGCTTACTCTTTGTTACAAGCCTCTTACCATAACGATGAAATTGTAACCGTTAATATGATGAACCCAACCTTCACCGTCGCTAATATAACACACAAACCAAGCGAAGAGAGAGAGAGAGAGGATTATGGCTATGGCGCCGATGGAGGTGGATGGGAGAAGTAGAAGGAGAGAGCGCGATGCGGTGGAGGAAGATGAAACGACGACGGCGGCCGTGAAGCGGAGGAAGCTCGAGGAGGAGGAGGCAGAAGGAGAATCGAGGAATATGCTTTCTTCACCGGTAAAGCTTGAGAACGGTGGTGGAATTGTGCCGAGAGATTCGGAGGAACTGCCGGGAAGAGAACAGTGCCATAGCCCTAAGTCGGAGGATAACTTACGACGCTCCTCGACTTCTTGCTGCTCCAGTCATGGATTCAGCGAGAAACACAACGGCGGTCTCGACTTCCTAGATCTGGAGGTGAGGATTTCGATGTTTGATTTCTCCAGATTTCCTATCCCACATTTGAGGTTTGAATGTGGTTTTCTGCAGCAATATAACGTAGCGGGAAAGGGAACGTCGTGGAATTGTAGCAGCAGCGCTAGGTCTCTCTCTCTATCTCTCTCTCTCTCCACATTATAAAAGAGAGCTGAATCTCTCCCTCTCACCATACAGTGAGGAGAACGAGGAATCGGAAAGCGTGGAGGTCAAAGCATCGGAGGCGGCCGAGTCGTGTGGGAGGTCAACTGTGACGGAAGCTGAGCTTGAAGCTTTTTTCATGGCTGAAAAGGATCTACGTTATAAGATACTCGAATATTCTTCGAAGTAACCTTTTTTTTGTGATCCAAAAAACCCCATTTCGTTTTACGGCATCAACATAAATAAACTAATAATAATAATAATAAATAAATAATATGGGAATATTTGCAGGTATAACTTCGATTTTGTGAAAGAGGAGGCTTTGGATGGACGGTACGAGTGGGTTAAATTGAAGCCCTGAATAATGAAGCATCTCATCTCTTCAACATGTTTCCACACTATTACAGAATATATCCTAATAATCACTTTGTAATTAGCTTCTTATACAACTTATAACCTATGGTTTGGTGTCAAAACTCGACAGGCCATAATATTATATGGGTTGGTTCAAGAATTACATAATATATTTAAAAACTGGAATTTTGTTATTTCCAAGTGAAACTAAAATCTGGGTAGCGATGCATGAGAGAGCAGGAGAATTTAGGGGGAAGAAGCTTCTCCTTATCGGGGCAAAGAGCAGAGAGATGCGTAGCAGAAGACAGAAACAAAATTGTTGAGAAACCAAAGCATTGCCATTATTGTCGTTTGCGTTTACATATTCCCTCTCTTCAGTTCCTTTCTGGTACTTTTGCCTTGTCTGCTTGTGCCGCTGACGTGTAATTATTCTACAATAAGAATACGGTTCATTTAACTTGCATAAATGAACCGTTTAAAATAAAAGTAAAAAAAATGAACCAGGTAAAATAAGAGTTTATGTGCAGTAGATAATTCTATATCAAATTTATTTATCGCATTTCAACATTCTAAAACAGGAAACTATTTGTATACACATTATATAAATAATAACCACCCTTTCCATTAGAGTTTGATCTCAAAATTCTCCAATTTTTTTTAAAGCATGTACAAAAAAAGTTATTTAGGATTCTCAACAGAGTCAATCATAAAACTTTTCATACCAAACTCTTTGCATCATTGCGGGATATTCCTCAACCGAGACTCCGAAAGACCCGAAAGATGTCAAACGATTTCAATATTAGTTTAAATAACCGTAGTCATCGCGAAATTGATACTTGGGCCGACAGGTTGGGCCTTATGACCCAAATGGTATACAATATAACTTGGCCCGATACAATTGAAAAGCCCAGTTCAGGATTTCATTTTAGAAGGAGGGGCTCCATTATTAATATGAAGCATGAACTCAACTGCAATGAATTCATATCGTATGATAAGATTTGAGGTATCAACTATGTGCATACAATACCATGAAACATATTTGTATATTAGATGTTCTAATCTAGGGTAAGCATAATTATTTTGAAAAACTTAATTTTCGTTTATCATGTTTTATATACTTATTAACTTATATAAACACCATTGTGGGGTTTTTTTTTTTGTAATATTCGAGATTTTTGAAAATGAAACAAGGAGTTGCAAAAGTAGAAACTAAAGGAGAGCAATTTAAAAACAAAAATAACGAAGGAACTTATACGAGAGTCCAGAAAGAGATGTTGAATATATTATAACAGGTCGGGAGACAATATCTACGTGGAAACTAAACCAACATGGAATAAATATCTTCGACTACAAAACATAACATAACAATTTAGTTTTTGTACAGCCAAACACATAAACTCCAACTCCCATTCAAACAAAATACAAAAATAAAATATTCACTACAATTTTTTTCCCTTATAAATTAAAAAAAAAACACTACATCGACAAAAAAAACGACTCTACCATTTTTTTTTTATATAAGATGAACATAATCTGAATTTAAACCAGGAAGCAAACATCATCATGCATGAGACAAAATCCAACCAAGTTCTCTACATGCCTTTCTCCATGCCGCTGCAAGTTGATCCTTCTAGCGTGGCACAAAACCAATATAAATGATCGAGATTTCGCAAAAACCCATTTGAAACACGTAACCCATATCAAAAGGTTAAGACTTTGACAAAAATTCACCTGAGATTGTTTGGTCTCCGAGTGAACAAATCTCTCCTCGTTGATCTTATCAGTTTTCTTGGACCCAATTACATGATTCCTCTTGAGACCCAACAGCCCCTTCCACTTTCCCTTGGACGAAGAAGACGACGATGGTGGAGGCCTGAGTGTGAAGTCATCTTCTTCAGAGCCTTCTTCTTCAATTAGAAGCTCTTCTCTCAAGGTCCTTTGGACGTGACTGGTCTCTTTGAAAGGCAGGAGCTTTCCTTTGGAGAAGAGCTCGTCGGCTGGCATCATCGTGTAGTTCGCGACGGAGAACTCGAAATCAGACGACGACGTCGACATGAGATGACTCTCTGTCTTTGTTCTCGTGTTGTTCTTCTTCTCCGGTTTGATCTCGACGAAGTCGTTGGAGAAGGAGATTCTCGGGCTCATAGGAGCACGGCCATTTGAATTGTACATCTCTAAGCATGCCATTTGCCACACAGCCTAATTGTGCCGAATTATATTCTGTATCCCCAGGGAGAGAGAGAGAGAGAGAGAGAGAGAGAGAGAGAGAGAGAGAGAGAGAGAGAGAGAGAGAGAGAGAGA